CACGTGCTCAAAGAGACTTTTATCAATATATTTCCTGATCGTGGCTACCGCCTTCCGACTCAGGATCTCCCACTCCTTATCGGTTTTGCCTGCTGGTCTCTCATCAAGGATAATGGGCTCATGCAAATCTTTGCAGTAGAGATGATCTTCCATCATCGGTCTCCAATAAGTGAAATTGTCTGCGGTCAACTTGAACATATCTCCATCATGAGTTATGCCACTGGTCTCCATCTCGTCTCCTTCAGAACCCGTCGAACCAGGCTCTGATACCACTGTTGGGTAATTCGTTCCCTCAAACTCCAATGTCAAGCGAGTCCAGGGAAAGTCCGTGGCGGGGGGCCACCACCAATGAGCTAAGGCTACACCAACCGTAGCAAGTGGATCCGACACCATGTCTCAACCCAAAACCTTAAGGCATTGGGTTCATGGGTCCTTTCACTTATATACTCTTTACTTAGCTCATTACCAACCAATGTGGGACTCATCACACTTGAATATCTCAACAATCCCCCCCTCAAGTGTGAAACCCACCATTGGTATGCTCCCCCTCAACCGAGTACCCGAAGCGCAAAGTACTCGACCCGCCTCCTAGCCAATCACTAGGCTAGCTCGAGCCCAATCCGACTTTGATACCACTGTTGGGAAAACTCGGTTCCCTCAAACTCGGCTAAGCAGCCTTTGTGCGGAAGTCAATCAACAAGATCCTGATCTCGGATCTCGGCAATACCTCGGCCTGAACTTCACCAGGTCGAGCAGCGCAGCGAAAAAGTCAAAACGTAAACACAGGAGAGAAAGAGAAGAAGAACACAACCAGATTTAACGTGGGAAAACCTTCTCCAATGAAGAAGTAAAAACCCACGGGACCTAGTCCAGATCAGAAATCCACTATGAAAATAATGGTTACAAATAATCAAATACACCAATGTGGTGGTTAACTCAACCTCTCCAACAATGGTGATAATCAAACTACCCTAGAGATGTTTCACTCAAACTCTCTCTCTAGAGATCTTTCAAATGCAAAGCATAAAGCTTTACTCAAACAATCAAATAATTCTCTCAAATTTGTTCTCTCAAATCTGACCTAGCCTCCACCCTCAACTAATGAGTATATATAGAGGAGGTGGAAATTAGGGTTAGGGTTTTTAGGAAACCCCTCAAATGGGCTTGGGCTTAGTATTGAAGGAGGAAGCCCAACATTTTAGATATAATGTAATATCTAAAGTGACAAGAAATATTTTTATTCTATTGAACTCAATTTCATGATGTGATATTGAACTCAATTTCCAACTAATGTAAATTTAAATTTTAAGTATATTTCATTTAAGATATGATTTAAGAAATAATTTAATTTTATTATTACGCTACACTTAATACTATACAATGTTAACAAACCGGTACGTAACAGGGTGTTACATTTTATTGTATCAGAGAACAATAATTCAGGTAAACAAAAGATTTAAACTATATGTTTCTTGGTATTTTGTCATAGATCATGCATATTTTGAATTATTTTGTAATGAGCCTGATCAACTAACTACCATGAAACAATATATGTAGATTTGTGACAAGTGTAAGGCAAATATCTAGACAATTTATATGTAGTGAAAACGTGTTGGATTTTAGGCAATTGAATAAAATTATTCAAAAATATTTTTTAGAAAGTATGTTGAAATTTTGGGGATAAATTTTATTAAGAAGAGGGAAAAATGTAACAGCAAACAAAAAATGACAGTGGCGCCTAAAGTGCCAAGGGTGAAATTGGTAGCGCCATAAGGACGCATAGTGCCATAAATTAGATAGAAAAAAAAATTAAAAATTAAAAATAATATAATAATAAATAATATAAAATATAATAATGATAGTATAAAACCTTACCAAAAAATAATAGGATAAAAATAATATTTAAAATAATACAATAATAATAAAAATAGAATAAAAAGAAAAGATTAGATTTTTTTAAAAGTCAAGCCAAAGAGATAAAGCGATAAGGATGCTCAGATTTTTATTTAGAAAAGTAATGATTATTGGGAACAGTGACTATATTGTTACGTTTGGACAAAAAATTACCAGACTGCCACGCTAACAGTAAATTTTGCCAAAATACCACGCGGCATAATTCTCTACACAGTGTAGCGAATTATGCCACGTCAGAACCAAAAATGTCACATGTCAAATTTTGAGAAATTCGCTACCCTATGTAGCTAATTTTTCAAAATTTGACATGTGAGATTTTTGGTTCTGTGCATTCTGACGTGGCATATTTCGCTACACTGTGTAGCGAATTACTTGCATGCATAATTTGCTACAATGTGTAGCGAATTATGCCGTGTGGCATTTTGGCAAAATTTACTGTTGGCGTGGCAGTTTGGTAATTTTTTTGTCCAAGCGTGACACTTTGGTCACTGTCCCTGATTATTGGACTAGTTTTTTTTATTTGATGAGCATGTAACACATCTATATATAACCCTGACGAGAGAAAGAAAGTGCGTAGAAAGGAAACAGAGCAGAAAAGAAAAGAAACAGAGGAAGAGAGGAAAGCAAAGCTGAGAGGAAGGACAGAGAAAAACACACACACACACACACATATATATATATAGGGAGGGTTTTTTTGACTCTAGAGTAAGATTTTTAAATCTTACTCCCTATCTTAGCCGTTGATAGATGAAAATTAACAGTTGTCATTTATAGTGTAAGTAATAATTAATTAATTAATATAACTTCTTAAAACAGAAAAATATTTCTGCAGTTAATGCAGATAAGTTATCTGCATTTACCTTCAAAACGATGTTGTTTTGGAATTGAAAGATTAGAAAATTATAATTATAAAGATTATAATAACTCTCAAATAAATTAAAATTACAAAAATACCATGATTTTCGCCTCAAAAAGATGTCATATTCAGCTTACTGCAGATTTATATGCAGTAACTTGCAGAAAAAGTGAACCTTGTTAAGATCACTTAATGGAGATGCTGTTGATTTACCCATTAGATTTTTAGCATATTTTATTTGAATTCTTAAAATTATGATTTAAGCAAAAATTATAAAAATTAATTTTTACCTAAATTTTAATTTGTTTTTCAAATAGAAAATCTAATGCAATCTTAGAATAATACACTCTTATATAGTAAATTAGAATTTATTCACAATTTTTACTGAATTCTTTCTTAAATAATTTAACATGTTATTCTTATTTTTTAAAAATTTTAAATTTGAATTATTTTAAATTATTCATCATTTTTTAATTTCAATTTCTATAATTTTTTCTTAAATTTTATCTGAAATAATTATACATCTGATTTATAATTTGTTTTTAAATATGTTTATTTTTTATTTTATTTCGATTTTAAAATATTTATATACAACATAAAATACTTAACAGTTTATGATATGAATGTTTCGACCTCCAAAAAGATTGCATTATATGAAAATACATGTGATATATAGAAAAAGGAAAAAAAAAAACCTTAACACTACGACATGAGTTGTCAAATCAAATGAAGAAATTAGAAAGAGACGCCGATTGGAGCAGCTTGCTGGTGTCATTCCTGAAACCGTAACCATAATTGAATGTATAATCCATATACATTCAATGCACATTATTAGATAACTACAATTAGAAATTTTAAATTGCAATTCACACAGAAACTGCTCGTGGTGGCTGCTGTGAATAAAAAAAGCATTATTATTATTAAGAGAGTAAGGAAAAATTCTTGATATAACTAATACTCATATCCCATATATATAATGAATAATAAATTATTTTTTATTAACTTAATTTGGATAAGTTGTGTAAATTAAATTCATTAAAAAATATCGTTTCTCTAAATTTGTTCAGAATTTAATATTAATTTTTTATAAGTACATATAAAAATTAATTTGTTTTTATGTATAAAGCTAATTACTTATTCATTATTATAAGAATTTATAGGGATGCAATTTTTTTTTATATATACCCACTGGCTCATTGATATAATCTTAAAATTTGAACTCGAAACCTTTAATTAAAAAGAGCAAATTATTTATCACTTGAACCAATAGTTACTACTAGGTACAAATTAATTTAATCAGAGACCTTATACATCTTAAACTGTTCATATATTCCCTCTAAATACATGATTGGAAATTTTTTTTTCTAAGGATGTCTTCACCCATTGAATGAGACTTAGTGGCGTAGAGCAGAAACTTTTTTGCCACCGACCCAAAGTGCTTCACCTAAAAATCAAACCGATCACAACAATCCAGTTCTTTAGCATAGCCAATTTATGTGCCACCTTGGGGTTAAATAAATGATTGTATTCAATAGAGTGAAAATGCACTTAAATAAAAAAAAACAAGTTTTCCAACCAAAATAATTAAGTCATATAATTCCATTTTGCTCCGGTCAAATTCAAACACCTCGAAATTGAATAATAAATTCTCCGAGCAGACATTCTAGAACATGATTGAAATTGATTGATTTAAATAATCAGAAATTCACTCTTTTTAGTTTTTGACACATGCAGAACTCTCTCTCTCTCTTCCAGAAAGAAAGACTTTTCATTCCATAAATAAAACATAATAGTATTAGATTATGAATCAAAGACCAAAAATTAAGGTATTTTATTTCTATTATGTGTTTCCTGACACACATGCTGTCGCCACCCATTACGACTTATTCTTCATTTCCTTGCAAACCCCGTCGAAGACTTTCTCTTCTTCCTCTTCTTCCTCTTCAACATCTTTGACCTTAACCATTCTCTCCCCAACACGCTTCTTCTTCTTCTTCTTCAATACCCCTTTTTATACATACCCTCTCTTTACACTTCCCTTGTTTTTCAGTTACCATTCTCAAACTGTCCAAATAAAACATAATAAATCGTGTCTTAGCACAGTGCCAACTCAATACCAGCATAACAGTTTTTTTTTTTTTTGTCACATTCATTCTTACAGCAATCCTTGTTGGTTTTGTTTCTTCAAGTTTTGCATTAGAAAGTTTTTTCACATGTTCTCCTTATCATTAGTTGAAGAAACTATGTCACTACTCAAACTAATCCAGTTTTGAGTTTGAGCCTCTTCATCCTCAACTCGAGTTTGACTCTCACAAATCGAACCCACACTAGATCAACAAATATTGGGTGATTGTGTGGTTTCTTTGGATCATGGGTTCTAAGAGGCCACTCTTGTTACCATCTCCAAGAACTCCTAATAATAACCAAGAGCTTCCTACCCTTCATGTTTTTCCTGAACTACCTAAATCAAAGTCAAGTTCTAGCAACACTGTTACGTTCTGTGGAATAGACACGACCAACCCAGTTGAGAATTCTTCAAAGTCATCGTCACGTAGAAGCGCCATGTCCATTCATTCTGGAAGCTCTGGCAGGAACAACTCTGTCAGAGAAGAGAGTGTTAAACCTGTTCGTTATGGCTCAAAGGGTGCTGATTCTGATGGACTCACCATGTCTCAGAAGGAACTCAAAGATGAGGATGCAAGGTTGGTTTATATAAATAATCCTGAGAAGACCAATGAGAGGTTCGAATTTTCAGGAAATTCAATTCGTACTGGGAAATACTCCATCATCACTTTCATTCCCAGGAACCTGTTTGAACAATTCCATAGAGTTGCTTACATTTATTTTCTGATAATTGCCATTCTCAATCAAATTCCTCAGCTTGCAGTGTTTGGGAGGGGTGTTTCTGTTTTGCCATTAGCCTTTGTTTTGCTTGTTACGGCTGTGAAGGATGCTTATGAGGATTGGAGGCGGCACCAATCAGATAATATTGAGAACAACAGGTTAGCATCAGTTTATGTCGATGATAAATTCGTAGACAAGAAATGGAAGGATATAAGAGTTGGTGAGATCATAAAAATCAAAGCAAATGAAACCATTCCTTGTGATATTGTGTTGCTCTCAACTAGTGATCCTACTGGAGTTGCATATGTGCAGACTATTAATCTAGATGGAGAGTCCAATTTGAAGACTAGGTATGCAAAACAAGAGACACATTCAAAGATGCCTGAAAGGGAGAGATTTCATGGCTTAATTAGGTGTGAGAAGCCCAATAGGAACATTTATGGATTTCTTGCTAACATGGATATTGATGGCAAGAGGTTATCACTTGGATCCTCAAATATTGTTCTTAGAGGATGTGAAATGAAGAATACTAGTTGGGCACTTGGTGTTGCTGTGTATTGTGGCAGTGAGACTAAAGCAATGCTCAACAGCTCTGGAGCTCCATCGAAGAGAAGCCGGCTTGAAACTCGCATGAATTCTGAGATCATCATCCTCTCCTTCTTTCTTGTAGCATTGTGTACAATCACCTCAGTTTGTGCTGCTGTTTGGTTAAAGCGCAAAAAGGATGAATTGGATCTCTTGCCTTATTATAGGAAACTGGATTTTTCAGAAGAAGGGGAAGTTAAAAACTATGAATACTATGGATGGGGATTGGAAATCTTTTTCACATTTCTCATGTCAGTTATAGTGTTCCAGGTCATGATTCCCATATCCTTGTACATTTCTATGGAGCTTGTTCGTGTTGGTCAGGCCTACTTCATGATCCGAGACAACAGAATGTATGATGAAGAAACACATGCAAGATTTCAATGCAGGGCTTTGAACATTAATGAAGATTTGGGGCAAATTAAATATGTCTTCTCAGACAAAACTGGTACACTTACTCAGAACAAGATGGAGTTTCAATGTGCCAGCATCTGGGGTGTTGATTACAGTTCTACAAAAGCCATCCTGGAGGATGAGCTAGTTGAATACTCTGTGAAAGGTTAGATTTCTTCCTCAAGTATGTTAATCTGTTACTTTCTTTTGTTTTCCCAACTGTTTTTTCTGAAACCCAACTAGGCTAGTTCGAGCACCATTTTCTCTATTCTTACGGATCAAACTCGAGACCTCTGGTTAAAAGAAACAAGTTTCTTACTACTTGAACCAATGATTGTTGGTATATATTAGTCTGTTCTAATACACTTTTAGCATTTCCTTTAATGCATCTGGTTTTGTTTATAATTGAAATAACATGGTTCTTCTTCTGTCATTATATGCTCTCAGTGGATGGAAAAGTCTTGAGACCAAAGATGAAGGTGAAAGTTAATCCAGAGCTTTTGCAATTATCAAGAAATGGACTTGAAAATAAGGAAGGAAAAGAGATATATGATTTCTTTCTAGCACTAGCAACCTGCAATACTATTGTGCCTCTTGTTGTTGACACATCTGATCCTGATGTCAAGCTGATAGATTACCAAGGGGAATCACCAGATGAACAAGCATTAGCATATGCTGCAGCTGCCTATGGTTTTGTGCTTATAGAACGAACTTCGGGTCATATAGTCATTGATATTCAGGGAGAAAGACTAAAGTAAGTTGAATTTTTATTTTTATATTTTAATAATTCTTTTCTCCTTTTACAATGACAATGGAAAACAATTTGTTTTTAATAGTCTACCCCTAATGTTGTTTAATCAGATAGGCAAGGGTGTCTGAAAATATTTTTGTTGGATTTTCTTGTGTATTTCATTGTTTTACCTATGTGATTACTAGTAGCGATCATTAAAGTAAGTTTTCTGTATGCATTTTTTGTCTTCCTTCTTTCCTGCAATTATGTAGTGCATGTAAGTTGTCTATAGAAAATCATATTCAACTCATCAATTAAGAACATGAATAATTATTTTAATAATTCATCACTTTCACATTGATAGGTTTATGTCAAATGCACTAACCTTTCTCCACAATGCATATGACTTGCAATACGATAACCGAAACCTTTATAAATCTCTTCACCTTTGTTTCCTATGCTGTCTACTTGATGCAATGCATGAAACATAACTCTAATAGACAGAGAATGAATAATTTTTAATGATTAAATGAAGGGCCAGCATGATTCTTAGGAAGAGATTTCTTCATTACTTTATGGGAGTAGTCATGTACTTTGGATGTAAGCAGTCACGTCTTATACATATATATATCACACCCGAGACATTTCTTACCGTGCACATATAGTAAGTTTACTTATCTTGATGGTTAGCTCATAACATGAAACCTCCTTTAATGTGGCACAATGGTTATCCTCTTTCTAATGAATCTTCCCATTATGGAAATTGCAGGTTCAATGTCTTAGGTATGCATGAATTTGATAGTGATAGGAAGAGGATGTCGGTTATATTGGGGTACCCTGATAATTCTGTGAAACTTTTTGTCAAAGGGGCAGATACAACCATGTTTAGTGTGATAGATAAATCATTTAACATGGAAAGAGTAAAAGCAACTGAAACCCATATTCACTCTTATTCTTCCACGGGTTTGAGAACACTTGTTATTGGGATGAGGGCATTGATTGCTTCAGAATTTGAGCAATGGCATGTTGCTTATGAGGCAGCAAATAATGCTTTGTTTGGTAGGGCTGCATTGCTTCGCAAGGTTTCTAACAATGTAGAGAACAATCTGAGCATATTGGGAGCATCTGCTATTGAAGATAAACTGCAGCAAGGTGTTCCAGAATCCATTGAGTCTCTAAGGACTGCAGGTATTAAAGTATGGGTTTTAACTGGGGACAAACAAGAAACTGCCATATCAATTGGTTACTCCTCAAAGCTCCTAACAAGCAACATGACTCAAATTATAATTAATAGCAATAGTAGAGACTCATGTAGAAGGAGATTACAAGATGCCCTTGCAATGTCTAACAAACTCATGTCTAACAATAATGGAGGAAGTTCTGATGGACCTACAACTCCAATAGCTTTGATTATTGATGGTACCAGCCTTGTACATATTCTTGACAGTGAACATGAAGAGCAGGTTGGCTCCATTAGATCTTGGATGTTGTTTACAATATATTTCTTTTACTTTTTGGTTTAATGGAAACTTGACTAACTTGGTTCGAGTTCTGTCTCACCCATATAACGGGTGACTTTCCTAATACTATTTTTTCATTCTTAGGACTTGAACTCGGACCAGTTGGTTTAGGGAAATAATAAGTTCCTTATCACTTTAACCTTTTATAATTTATTTCTTAGTGATGTCTTACTTGCTGATTTTGGCTACTTCTGTTGATTCAGCTATTTGAACTTGCAAGAAAATGTGCTGTTGTTCTATGTTGCCGAGTAGCTCCACTGCAAAAGGCTGGGATTGTTGCCCTTGTGAAGAATAGGACATCTGACATGACACTAGCTGTTGGAGATGGTATGAATGCTTCTTTTGACTTGTTTCAGCCTGTCAAAATTGAGAACAAAAAGAATGAAATAAAATAAAAAGCACTGATAGAAAATAATGAATAATTTGGATTGGTCTGGTTTATGTTGTGTGTAGTATAATGAATTCATTATGCATGTGTTACAGGTGCTAATGATGTCTCAATGATCCAAATGGCTGATGTTGGAGTTGGCATAAGTGGACAAGAGGGTCGGCAAGCTGTTATGGCATCAGATTTTGCAATTGGGCAGTTTAGGTTTTTAGTTCCTCTCTTATTGATACATGGGCATTGGAATTACCAACGGCTTGGTTACATGATACTATACAACTTTTACAGAAATGCTGTCCTTGTTCTTGTCTTATTTTGGTAAGTTATAATCCAACAATGTATATATGTACCTTGCTTTGGTCATATAACTTTTAAATTATGCCATAAACCTCACCTTCAAAAAATTTTGTTATTGGGCTTGTTGTGCTTCTGAGCCTGGTTATTTAGATAAAAATCGATATATCCGATGGTTCTTTTTTTGGGGGCTTTTGATGTGTTCAGCATTTTCTTAAAATAAGATATTAATTGTATTTTGCTCTTTTTGGTTGTTAGATGCATTCCTCCAGATTTTAACATGTTATACTTTGTTATGTGCCTCTTTTTTCCAGGTATGTGCTCTTCACTGCCTTCACTTTGACAACTGCTATAAATGAATGGAGCTCCACTTTGTATTCTATAATCTACAGTTCATTGCCAACTATTATTGTTGGTATTCTAGACAAAGATCTTGGGAGAAGGACTCTCCTAAAGTATCCTCAGCTTTATGGGGCTGGTCAGAGACAAGAGGCCTACAACAAAAAACTATTTATGTTTACAATGGTTGATACTTTGTGGCAAAGCATGGTTATCTTCTGGGCTCCCCTATTTGCATATTGGAGTAGCACAGTTGATGTGGCAAGCATTGGAGACCTTTGGACTCTTGCAGTTGTTATTTTGGTTAATTTACACTTGGCCATGGATGTTGTCAGATGGTACTGGGTGACTCATGTTGCAATTTGGGGGTCTATTGTTGCAACTTTCATTTGTGTCATGATTATTGATGCTATACCTACACTTCCTGGTTACTGGTATGCATTATCTTTTCCCCATTCTTTTGCTCTCTTAATTTTTATACAATAAATATAATGTCATAGCATTCATATAAAGGTTAGGCATATATGCTGTTTTGCACATGTTAGATACTGAACTTATATCCTTGTTATGCAGTTCTGCCTATACATTATTGATTATTGCTTTTCTGTTGTGACTTGTTTTCTTATGGAGTGTATCTTTTTCTTCCCTCAATTTTCATGTGTCAGTGAGTATAGAGGAAAAAGAGGGCGATTTTAGAGTAGTGGAAAAATTATTCCTTCGTGACTGAAAGGTCACAGGAAATAGTCTCTTTGCAAATATACAAGGATAAGACTATACAAGGATTGTCCTTAGTCCAGGTTTGATGGGAAGTTTTTTTTTTTTAAATGAGTACAGAGGAAAAGAAATTGGAAATCAATAGAATGTTTGGTATATTGGTTTCATAAGTCACCATGTCATGAAATAAACCATGTCCAATTCAAAAGAATTCTTTGTTGCCATTGAGAGCATCTTAGAACTTTGAAAATATTTGCTATCCTACATTGCTTTTATACATAAAGACTGACCTTTGCTCCTCCACAACTTTGACAGGGCCTTCTTTGATGGTGCAAGTACTGGATTGTTCTGGTTATTGTTGCTCGGAATTGTGATAACAGCATTGTTGCCTCGTTTGGTTATAAAATTTATTCATGAATATTATTTTCCTAATGATATTCAGATTTCTAGAGAATCTGAGAAGGTTGGGAATGAGAGAGGTATTGAAAGTGGACAGATAGAAATGCTTCCTGTATCAGATAGAACACCAAGATGAAAGAAGTGATCTTCTATTCTACCTTTTTTTTTTTTTTCCTTTTCTTTTGTAAAGTAGCATATTCTTTAGGCTACTTCAGAGTTTTTCTGTTAGTTGCCGGATTTTATTGATTGCTATCCGAAGGATAGAGTTTTTGTTACCACTGTAGAGGTTTGTTGTATTTTCATTCTTTTGTATTCATAAATTTAGCTTGTTTTAAATTAACCTTCATCAAAGCAGAAAAGGAAAAAAGTTGATTGCATGTTAGATATTAAATTTTTACATGATGGGTTGAATTCCTTGCCTCCTTGGCTATGTTGAATTTGTCCTTGAGCTTTCTCAGTTCAATTCTTGTTTATGCAATTCTGATAGTTATGGAGTTTTAATTTTATTATTTGCATTTGTTATAAATATAATATAAAAATATAAAATTATTCATTGTCTTTAGTATCAAAAAAAAAAAAAGTCTTAAATTTTTAGAAAAATTGTTAGGACCTATATCATGAAGTATTTTAAAATTCAATCCTTGTCGTATTATTTTTGTAATAAATATTATAATTCTTTTTTTACATATATAGGTGAACCTCTGTATTGTTGATAAACTTTTGTTCTAGTCACACGGTTTGTAATATGTTGTGGGACACTCTTTGTAGTATGCTGGCCTAAAAGCCTTCCCGTACAATGTGCATTTTTTTTTTGAATTTTTTTATCTTCTATTCTATCAATTAAGTCAATGTAAACAGCTGATTGACGTGTGGACCGTGTATTCATAAACTAATCCAATATAATGAAAATCGAAAAATTCAATCGAAAAAGAAAAATTGAAAAACAGAATTTTTTGTTTACATTACATTTTGATTACGATTTTGAAAAACAATCTTATTTTTTATAACACTTTTGAAAACCAATCTTAATAAAAATTAAATCAAACTTACGCACAGATATAAATTTAAACCAAATTAATTGAATAAAAAAAAATGAAATTCGATGACATTAGATTAAATAAGATGACTTCCCCCCCCCCCCCCCCCCCCCCCCCCTTAAAATCGATCCTAATTAATATGTGAACCTTTTGTGCTCACTGCTCATGAGATTAAAGTGCAATTTGCACCAACATGCAGGCTAGGAAGGTACATTCTCTAGGTCCCATGACATAAATGAAAGAAAATGGCGGCAGTAGGCATGTGAGGATGAAAACAAATTTTTTTAAAAGTGGAAACACACATGCCAATCAAGATATGTACTTTAGGACGTAATGATATACCTTGTTCGTGATTAAAGTTCCAAGGTGATCAATGTAAGGTTTGAAAGGGTTCAAACCCACACCACCCTACGTCAAGATGCAAGAACCCTTCTTGAAAAGCCACCAATTAAACACCACAAAGAAGGCTGGTAACTGGTAAGGCGTTCAATAGATGAAGGAAGAGGCAAGGTTAATGTATTTAGATGAGTGAAATTTTCAGCTTAAAACTTCACAAAAGTGGCACATGGAATTGATGAGAAGTGGCTAGGATATTCTTCAAAACTCTCTTAAGAAAAACCTAACAAAAGAATGACAAAAGGAGATGAGGGAGTCTAAGCATTCAAGTTAGATGTTTCACTTAAAAATCTGATCAAAGTGGCGCACACCAAGGGAGAAAACGGTGGAGTTGTTTCAATTCAAATTTTCCCAACAACCTATCTTTTAATCCTCATGAGACTAGGTCTAAACCTTGTCAAAATTCTGACCTAATGACAATCATATGGCCAGCCATATGGTGCGCCCCTTTGGTCAACAATGCAGTCCAAATACATTGAGTAGTTGCATTCAAATTTGAACCAACTTACTCATTTATTCTCTCAACTAACCAAATCTGATTTGGAGCTTATTTGGTTGACTAAATGACACTCATAACAACCCAAATCAGCGCCCCAAACAACCTTGGATGATGCTCAAATATCTCCTCTTGATACTAGGGATTTGTTCCAACAAGATCTTATCTTATCCTTTTGTTATGAAACAACTTTTCATAGCCAATTCAGATTTGAATTTAAACATTTAAATTCAAACGTTAAAACATTGAAATTCAAAATTCAAATTCAAAATTTAAATATTTGATAATTAATTTAACTAATTAAATTAATTAATAATGTCTTGGACCATCCAAGCCCATCACAATTACCATGCGCCCTTTCCTTCTTAGGTGGGCTTCCAAACTTCTGCTTGGGCTAACAACCTTTATTAGGCCCAATACCTTTAATGCTATATCATCAAGACAATAAGGTGTTAGTGTGTGACCCATTAGGCCCAACATAGCCACTGACATAAATGGGCTTGGGCCTAAACAAGCCCACAACCCATTTAATGACAACGCAGAGCACTAGCAATGCTTTGTTGCCCCAGAGCTAGTTAGGTTAATGACATGATCATCCTATTACATATATTTGGTTACCGTATGTATTTCCTTTCATCTCGGTTACCTTCCCATTAAACCTAGGGTGAGGATACGTATCAACCCTTGCGGTTTAGGGTAAGCTTTAATTCGAAATAGGGAATCTTCAATTTACTGACTCTAAAGGCAGATCATCTCATGATCTCTTTTACAATGCATAGATTCCCAAGTCCTGTAAATGTCATCCCGATTTCTCCGGTTTACAGATAACCTAATCCCTTACAGAGATTTGACGAATTCCTTCAGCTTATCTCCCTAGGCCTGTGCTCTTTCAGGACATGCCCAAAAGTATACCTATGAGTTTCCATGTTTCAGGCAGACGAGGTATACAATCAAAACATGCCTTCTAGAACACAGTTTAGGTGACAACTTATGGTCTAAGGAAAGACATACCCAAATACTAAGAGACTACTCTAATGATACTTTTGTAAGATTTTCTCATAGGGTCTCTTTGTGGGTCTGTTCAGTGCGAGCTATACCCTTATAGGTCCACCCACGACTTTAGCTAAGACATCTCCATATCTGTAGCTCATGAGGTCTTTACCTTGTATCCGAATACAAGTAGATAAGTTGTGCTAGTCTTACCCGAGATTACTGATCCCCATACTCAAGAGATACCTATTTTATTCCAAGGGGTTTATCCAGTTACTCATATAATCTATTAACAATAATATTGAGACAAAATATGAAACAAGATAAATAGTGCTTATTATTTATTTGCGACAATATAAAAAGGTCCACATATGTCCTAATCTAATCAAAAGATTGTCTCTAGGACATCCATATACTAACAATAAATTAGTGAAAACCTTTTGTGCTCATCATGGGATTAAAGTGCGTTTGCACCAACATGCAAGCTAATAAGGTACATTCTGTAGGTCCCATGACTAAATTATTAATTCTAAATTGGAGAAACTATGGTTAACTGTTAGTATATGGATGTCCTAGAGACAATATTTTAATTAGATTAGGACATATGTGGACCTTTGTAGTGTCGCAAATAAATAAAAGCACTATTTATCATGTTTCATATTTTGTCTCAATATTACTGTTAATATTTTATACGAGTAACTGGATAAACCCCTTGGAATAAAATAGGTATCTCTTGAGTATCTGTGATGAGATCACGATCATGAGGATTCAAGGATACTGGATATTTATTCTTAATTTTATGTTCCTAGTCTAGAGACACTGAGAATGGGGATCAATGATCTCGGGTAAGACTAGCACGACTTATCTACTTGTATTCAGATGCAAGATGTAATGTCCCACATCGGTTGGAGAGGGGAACGAAGCATGCCTTAAATAAGGGTGTGGATACCTTTCCTTGTAGGAGGCCTTTTGGGGTAGCCCAAAACGTAAAACCGTGAGCTCGACGGTGCTTGTGCGCGGGGCAAAGCGGACAATATCCTGCTACAGGGTTTAGGGCTGTTACATTTGGTATCAGAGCCTGGCCCTGGACCGGTGTGTACAGCGGGGACGCTGTATTCCCAGTGGGGGAGGATGTAATGTCCCACATCGGTTGGAGAAGGGAACGAAGCATGCCTTAAATAAGGGTGTGGATACCTTTCCTTGTAGGAGGCCTTTTGGGGTAGCCCAAAACGTAAAACCGTGAGCTCGACGGTGCTTGTGCGCGGGGCAAAGCGGACAATATCCTGCTACAGGGTTTGGGGCGGTTACACAAGGTAAAAACCTCATGAGCTACAGATATGGAGATGTCTTAGCTAAAGTCGTGGGTGGACCTATAAGAGTATAGCTCGCACTGAACAGACCCACAAAAGAGACTCTATGAGGAAATCTCACAGAGAGTATCATTAGAGTAGTCTCTTTATATTTGGGTATGTCTTTCCTTAGACCAGAAGTTATTACCTAGACTGTGTTCTAGAAGGCATGCTTTGACTGTATACCTCGTCTTCCTGAAATATGGAGACTCATAGGTATACTGTTGGGCTTGTCCTGAAAGAGCATAGGGCTAGGGTAATAAGCTGAAGGAATTCGTCAAATCTCTGTGAGAGATTAGGTTATCTGTAAACCGGAGAAATCGGGATGACATTTACAGGGACTCGGGAATCTATGCATAGTAAAAGAGATCATGAGATGATCTGCCTTTAGAGTCAGTAAATTGAAGATTCCCTATTTTCGAATAAAGCTTACCCTAAACCGCAAGGGTTGATACGCTTCCTTACCCTAGCTTTTATGGGAAGGTAACAGAGACGAAAAGAAATACGTACGGCAACCAAATATGTGTCGTAGGATGATCAAGTCATTAATCTAACTAGCTCTGGGGCAACAAAGCATTGCTAGTGCTCTGTGTTGTCATTAAATGGGTTGTGGGCTTGTTGGGCCCGAGCCCATTTATGTCAGTGGCTATGTTGGACCTAATGAGTCACACACTAACACCTTAATGTCATGATGATATAGCATTAAAGGAATTGGACCTAATAATTGTTGTTAGCCCAAGATGAAGTTTGGAAGCCCACCTAAGAGGGAGAGGGCACATGGTATTGTTAATGAGCTTGGATGGTCCAAGACATTACTAATTAATTTAATTAGTTAAATTAATTATCAAATATTTAAATTTTGAATTTGAAATTTGAATTTTGAATTTGAAATTCAAATTTTGAAATTCGAATTTTGAATTTGAAATTTGAAATTTGAAATTTGAAATTTGAATTTGGAATTTGAATTTTGAAATTTGAATTTGAATTTGAATTTAGAATTTAAATGTTTGAAC